GAACTCAGTGGGAACCTTTCTGTGGTGCTGAATGAGACTGAGTAAACTCACAAGAACTAGGAGTTGATTTTATGTGGGCAGGTTTGCTACTTTAATAAAGACTTTAGCAAACAGCTGTGGGCATACTTGTGCCAGACTGTTTTAGCATTTAGCTGGCACTAAAGATGAATATCAAACCTCACAAACAATTCCTGCCTGGACAAGCAAACACATTTCATTCCTTCGCTCCTCCCGCCTCTGCTCGGGTTATTTGGATGTACAGCCTGTCTTGCAGTGATGAGTGCAGTTTATTATTGTTTTGTGATAGTGATGTGTCTGGTCTCTTGCTTCTCAAGGTGGTGAAATATTTTGTAAAAAAGTGTTTTGAGAAAACAATTAGGAAGTACAAAACTGCAAAAATAATTGTAGTGTTCTTTGGAATCAAATTATGTTAGTTTTATATCTTATCATATTATAAAATGCAAAAAAAAAGAAGAAATAAAGTATTGAAGTGGAATTCATTGTGTGCAGCTGTGGTATTGTAGCAGTGTGTGCAGATAAGCACTAAATGTTACGATTCTAATGAGTTTTCCTTTCTTAAGGGATGATGATGACATTAATGATGTTGCATCAATGGCTGGAGTCAACCTGTCAGAAGAAAGTGCTCGGATATTGGCAACAAACTCTGAGTTAGTAGGCACATTAACAAGGTCCTGTAAAGACGAAACCTTCCTTTTCCCAGCACCTTTACAGAGAAGGATATTAGAAATAGGTATGTTGATTTTTCTTGAATTTTAATAAAGAGATTTCACTAGTCTGGGGTTTAATTGAAGGCATTTTCTATAGAAATTGATTTGAATAGTTTAAAGTTGCTGGAGTCATAACTTCTTTTATATTCTGAGGGCAATCATTCAGTTTATGAAAGTAGCATAGTGTTAAGGGATAGCAAATCTGCAGAGTTACCTTCTGAAGTTATGGCAATTTAACATCAAAATTACTGGACCTGGTTAAAATTCTGTCTGTGTAAACTGATAAGACGTATCAAAAATAATGACTTTTTTTTAGATAAATGTAGAAACACTTGTATCATATTTACTTACTAGTTTAGAACTGATGGTAGAACAAAAAGTATTCTTCAATTATTTGTTATACTGTAGCATGCAGCATTTATTAACAGATTGTAAATTTAGTTAAGCTAATATAAGTTTTAATGTATGCCATTTCCTGTTTAATGCTTGTCTGAGAAATACCTAAAAGCCTTATTTTGCAAACAACAATTACATTTCCATGACTGAGATTAGCCACTTATTTAGCTGTATTGTCAAATCATTTTTTACAACTGCCTTCTGTACTGATCATAGGTAAAAAACATGGAATAACAGAAATCCATCCTGATGTAGTTAGCTACGTATCACATGCTACACAACAAAGACTACAAAACCTCGTGGAAAAATTATCAGAGACTGCTCAACAGAAGAATATTTCTTATAAGGTAACTGGATTTAGTTGCACAAATAAAATGACAAAGTTGCACATATTCAGCAGGCTGTCGTGCTGGCTGTAACGTGAGTTCAGGTGTTCTTCATTCTGTGAACTCAGGTTGTTTACTCTCTTTGGTTCATCTTATATTAAGTTATTAATACAGATGGATGACTAGAACTCTTCAGCTTGCATATACAAAATGTTTTTAAAACAAATGCAGAGAAACTGTGCCCTCTCTTTTATTATGTCAAATGTTTAGAGTCTGAGTGATTGTACAATCAAATAGGCAGATAAAAGCACTGCTTTGAATTCTCCAGAGACTGCTGTCTGACAGATGTGTGTTCTTAATAGGTGCAAATGCCTAAACAGCTTTTAAAAAAAACCCACATAGCTCTGTGAAATGTGTTTGTGAGGTTTAAGCTGTGATGATATTAGTTTAGAAGTCAAAATGTGATGATTCATGGAATTGAATAAAATGCTTTTAAGAATTCTGGCTGGTTTGACTGGTGTAAAGATACACTTGCTATTTGTTTGAAAAGGACAAAGTGAACATTTGAGCTTTAAATATGTGTGTTCTTCTCCAGTACAGTACAAGCTAACAGCTTTGTTTTTAAGGGATGTAATGAGAAACATTTGCTGTGTTTTCAGGATGATGAAAGATACGAACAAGCAAGTGACGTTCGGGCGCAGCTCAAGTTCTTTGAACAACTTGATCAAATAGAAAAGCAGCGTAAAGATGAACAAGAAAGGGAAATTTTAATGCGTGCAGCAAAGGCAAGTGCTCGGATTTTGCACGTTTGCAAAGTGCCATTTTTAACCTCAAAACAGTGGAGTTTCATTTTATTCTAAAGCAGTTGCAATGAAGAGGAAGACTCTAATCTTCTAAGATGGAGCTTGATGAATATGTTCTTTAGCTAGAGCTCTGTTCTGCTTTTCATGGTAGAACATGTGATACAACTTGTTTGCCACTCTCATTGCATTTTCCCAAGTTAAAGTATGTCTTAAAACTTAGCTTTTGCACTCTGCATTGTGAAGATTAATTTTATAGTTTGGTAGTTCTCTTAAATGGAATAGAGAGGTTACAGGTACTTTGAAGGCTAGAAATAGAATTCAGAAAGATTTTTACAAGTTGGAGAAATACAATAAATAGGAAGCAGTTGACGTAAGCAGAAATGTAAGCATTAGACTTTGTAGTTTTACTCAGTGACCCAAATATAGGATAGGTATGAGTAACTAGGCAGGAGCACTCTAGAAATAATTCACAAAATAACTTAAGGTGTTGGGTTTGTGATCCAGGATGAGTTGATAATGCCAAAATCCAGTTTTTGTACTGCTTCCTTTCAAATTCGCTTCCTCCAAGACAAGGATCAATTTTAACATCGGTGTAGCATCATAGGGAATAAAATTTGAGTTGTTGTTCCTTGATTCATGGAATTGGAGGAATGTTAGAAAAGCCATCGCTGTTCTCTCAAGTCTCTGCTCTTTTGCACATAAGTTGTGAACTAACACGTTTGTTTCAATTGGTTCCTGTTAGACCCGAGCTGGAATACTCTACCCAGTTTTTGGGCCCTACACCAAGTAGAATTCAGAAGAAAAGTGATTTAAAGGTCTAGAAAATGTTGTCTATGAAATAAGGTTAGAGAGTAAATCTGTTTACTTTAGAAGAGAAAAGACTGGGGTGAGACATAAGTCTTCATGACTGTGTTTTGCATATTCATTTACTTCCCTGTGTTTGTGCCTGCAGTGCAGGGAAGATGTAGGTTAGTTATTAGGAAAACATTTTCAGGGTACTTGAGCATTGAATTAAAATTATTTTGTTGTTGGTCTAAAGAATGGATGGGATTAACAAGAGTCAGGATTTGTTTAAATATAGTTAATCTTGCCTTATGTGAGAGTATGGATGAAAGACTGTCTTGAAGTCCTTCCTGTTTTCTGTTTGTTAACTTCTTGAAAAAAGCCAAAAACCGAAGAGAATTGATACATGTAGCAAAAAAAAAAGAGAGGAAAAAAAAAAAGGCAAAGGCAAATGTGTTTTAATAGTATTAGGCGGTAAAAT